GGGTGGTGAGCAATTGTACTGTGCATCACTTGCTTTGTATATTCTTCTATTATTATTATTACTATTATTAGTAGTATTTTATTTCAATTATTAAACTGTTTTTATCTCAACCCACGAGTTTTCTCACTTTTACTCTTCTGACTCTCTCCCCCATCCCACTGGGGAGGGGAGAGTGAGTGAGCAGCTGTGTGATGCTCAGTTGCCGACTGAGGTTAAACCACAACACAGAACCAAACCAAGTTATAATTAGTACTGGAATTAGGCAAGTATTCATTTAAAATATGCTTCATATTTCTTCTATCTTATTCTAGCTACTTCACCAAATTTCTGCTATTGCAGGGCATGAAAACACCAATATGGCAGTTCTCCCCTTCTAATTCCACAGATGCCCAAGTGCTTTCCTTTAATTTCTGTCATATCATTAACTGCCTGTGTCTCAAATTAAGCACCACAGAAAAAAAGTTACCAGAACTTATCATAAAGTGGACTTTCTTACACTTGTATTCTCCTTTTCACTTTCATCAGCATCATCAGCATCAGCATCATCAGCATTGCTATCATGAAGAGTCTCTTTCATTGCTTTCCGGATGCAGGCATTCAAGCAGCGCCGAATAGTAAGCATCAATTTAGCTACATTTAAATATAATAAGAATAAATTAGACATTTACTACTTGTTAAGAATGTTGCTAGTAAATGCTTCTAGGTGTAATGCTGGGAAACCAGTCTGAAAAGCAGGCAACAGAACCAGAAATAACTAGGAAGAAAAGATAAAATTTCCTGGAAATGGAAGAAATGTGAAAATGTTTTATATCCTCAAGTATGAAGAAGAAATGGCCACATTATCACCAGGTTCTATAATTTTATTGTTAAAAAAGTTTATTCAAAAAAACCAAACAACCACCACCTTATCAAATCAGGATCAGAGGAAGCTCCCACAGCTCCTACATTCATCTTGCATAGCTATTAATTTAATGACCTATGTTCAGTAATACATCCCCTCCAATGTCAATTCCAATTATTTATGAAAGATGTAGTAGCCTAACCATTGCACTCCTTAATGAGGAGCTCATCTCTAGACAAAAGTGAAAGGGTTATGTCCACTCTGGTAAAAGTATGACTAGCTGAAATACACTGGCACGTGTTATCCCAAAACTACGTTACCAAGGTAATCAGTCAAGGGGCAACAGCTTGGGTATTTTACCCAAGTCACTCCATGCTGACTACTTTGTTTTTATAGTATCAGAACTCCTCTGAAATAAAATTTTCCTGATTTTACTTGGTTCAATAGCACTTTTATAAAAAGCAGCTATACTCTGTGCAGTACACACCCTTTTCACTGAAAGTTTCTGAAGCTTTTAATACGAAGGAGGGCTTTTTAGATTTTCTCTGAGCAACTTGAAAATACTACTGATCTACAAATACCAGATAATCAGATTATCAGACACAAATATTTTTCACCTTCTATAGAATCTTCCACATAAAGATCTCAAATCACCTGAGACACCACGGTATTTTATTTCATTATTTCTGCATGATAAATAAGTATCAACTTAGATAGTTTTAAGGTACATATGACAAGAAAGGCGAGAAGAGAGACCAGATAACACCAGCTAGAGAGTATAGTACGGCATGTAAGAGCAGAAACGAAAAGCTTTGGTCTCTTCATTGTTGAAAAAGCTTATGACTGTTGTCACCAGGGTTCATTGCTGGTGTCAAGAATTTCAGAAACTACAAACTAGTATTATACTATAAACAAAGGATCTAGCAACAACGTACCACTGTTAGAGAAAAAATTTAAAAAGCAATTACATGGTGTGATACTAGTATTTCCAAAGACTCATAAGATTTTGTACTTTACCTATATTGGTGGGGGCAGTATATTCATAAGCATATTGATAGAACTTTCTAGCCGCTGCTGAATTCATCTGGATTAGTGTAACACAGCGCTCACACCACACCTCCTCAGGTTGGTTAATAGGAAAGAAAGAGTTGAATAAGAGATTCACTATGCGTCGTGACACAGGCCGTGAATCAACTTCCAGACGAGTCAGAAGATGCTCCATGGGACAGATTTTCCAGAACTTTTTAAAGCGAGAAAAAGATATTAAAGGAGTTAAAAAAATAAAGAGGAAAAACCAATCACCTTTATTAAATGTTGTCCACATCAAAACTCTCAACAAATATAAATAGCATTTACCAGAAAAGCATGAGCATTTTCAATTTTTACCAAAATACCAGCATTTACTTGAGGTCACATATTGCTGCAACAATGCTACTTTACTGTTCTGACACACCTCTAAATCTCCCGGTATGTCTGATCGACCGGTAAAATTCTGGTTCAAGCAATTCCAGCTCAATATACCTGCAATGCTAATACAATTCCATAGGTATATGGAAGAATTCTTTACTCTACAAGGATATCACCACAAAATATAATGATTTGTCATTATGTGCCAGGTTTCATATTCTCATCATAGGACAAAGTAGGACCAAACTACCTACAAGTATGGTACACGCCCTAAAAACCTGTATAGAACAAGGTCCTTTCCAAAATCATCCCAAACCATAAGGGCATCCCATCGTTAGCAGAGCTCTACCTTCCCTGTAACACAGTATTCGAAAGCTATGAAAGAATAAACAGCTTGTTATGCCAGCAGTAATACTACGCACGTTTGTAATTTTTGTGAAAAGATCTTGCATTAATTATGCTGTGCACTTTCAGATTAAAAAAACCCAACAAACCTCCCCAAAAAATAGGGTTTCTTGGCATTGGAAAATATTATTTTATTCTTGACTAGAAATATTTGCAGCAGCTAATTCCCCTGTGATTTCAAACTATGGGCATCTCTACTAGAATTACCATAAAAAGAAGGTCCTTGGAGTAAGCATTAAAGTAATCCCAGGACTTACCAGAGATACGTATTACAGTTTTTAAATAAATAGGAAGTTACTGACAAAACATCTAACACTTACCAGGAATTTTTTTTTTCTTTTATGTAAACCTGATCCTTCCTTTAGGAGATATGAATCTTTTACTACATAAAAATAAAGCACAGAGTGGATGGAAGATATCCAACATGCCTAAAGAACAAATTAATACCTAAAAAAAATCCCTGAAGTTGAGAATTATCTTTTTCTCTGTCTTTAATGGCAGCAAATTCAGAATAATTCAGGAAAGAAAAAAAGATTGTTTGCTTGAACTTTCATACTGAATGACAAGTAACTTTCAAACAAGAATTTTTTATACATTTAACAGCAGCAGGAATACTTTGTTTTTAAAAGACTGTACACAAAGTAACAACATTAAAAAATAGATTTAAAGCATTGTTGATATTGAATACAAGTTAAAAAAAGCTTGGTTGTATTTTACTATACAGATAACTGATATTAACGGATCAAATCATGACCGTAGGTGCCCGTCCTTTAAATCATACTTGTATATCATATCTTATGAAGAGTTAAAACTCAGCACAAGAAGAAGTGCCAAGTGCTTGTGAGGTTACAGTGATGTAGAAATGAATGTTAAAAAATACATAAGAAGATTATAAAAATGACACGTAACCAGATTATTAGGGGAACATGCTTGTTGAGTATTTTTAGAATAATAAATAATAACACAAGAATACGACAGAAATCATGATTAAGGTTTCAGAGTCCAACACTTTCAGAACAACACTTCCATGATCTGTTGTTTCTGCTGACTCTGTGAACCAGGTGATACATCTCCTAACACAGGCATCATCATAAATAATAACACAAGAATACGACAGAAATCATGATTAAGATTTCAGAGTCCAACACTTTCAGAACAACACTTCCATGATCTGTTGTTTCTGCTGACTCTGTGAACCAGGTGATACATCTCCTAACACATAGGCATCATCAGTTTGAGGTCCAGTGTCACAGGGATATGTCTGCCGTTCTACCTCAGTTTGACCTGGTAAAGCCTGGCTTTAGAACCTGCTGAAGCAGAAACTTCAGGAAAAAAAGCATCTTTTAGAGTACTACCACTTATTTATAACTCTGAATTGCCTCCTCCAGTTATCTCCAATAATCTTAACAACCAGAATCAATTGTCTAAGTAAAGGTACAGCTGCACATTGTTAATCTCGGGAGATCTGCAAACATTACTAGTACCCTGCTGGAAACTTTTTGTGCTGACAGTCTGAATGACCTTGTACTTGCAGTGTTTGTCTCCATTTCACATCTTCTGTGGACTTGCCTAATCAATGCTTTGACGTATGTATAATGGAAGTACCAAACCTGCTGTTGCATTATTGTAATCCTCATCCTGAACCTGTGTGCAAGAAGCCAAAAGCTCTCAATTCCAAAACTGCCTCCCATTTATCTTGTCTTCTGAGCATATTTTGGGGAATTTGGAAGGCACTGAGGTGGTCTAATCTCCATGTATGTCTTTGAGGTCCTGTCATCAAAGCTGGAATGCACACATTTGGCAAGTAGGTAATTCTCGTGTTAGGGATAGATATGTTCCTTGAGCGCTGAAGCCTTAAAAATCTGACAAACCAAGTATTTATTTAATTCTCTCCTGAACAACAGAGATACATACCTCTGACTTCAGATAGTGTATGTGCCTAGCACAAGATAAGCATATCCTAATAATTAGGCTTAGCAAGAGACAAAACATGATTAAAAGAAAACAGCAGAGAGTGAAGAAAGTGCTCAAAGATGCTATAATGCCCAAGGCTGGACGGTATCACCCTAAATAAGAGTCCACAGCAGAACACAAAGCTCGTTCAAAATCACTATAAAAAGATACCAAAATCCTGAAGGATATAGCCACAAAAGACAAATAGAAATTATAAAAATAGGTAAATAAAAGTAAAAAAGCAATTTGGTAAAGACATTAAGCATTTAGAAGGTGAGAGAGTCCTGACTTGAGCTAGCCAGCTGGAAGTGTGGTGGTACCGACTGCTCTGCCCTGGCATGCCCACGAGAGGGCAGGGAAGACAGAAACATGCTGAGAAAAAGGTCTGCTGAGCGTTTGTGACGCCAGCAGCCGCTGAAAAAAGGAGGCAAGCACAGAGATACCACTGGACCTACTATCATCCCGAACTAGTCAAAAACATGGGGGAGAGGAAAAGGAGAAGAGTGTACTTGACTCAGCTAAAAAGCTAACTTTCCAGCATGTCTATAAAATCTCTGCCATAGTAGTATCCAGACACAGTACTACCTCATGTAGTTAATTTTTCTGCAAACAGCAGCTATGGAAGGCTGAAAGCTCACCAGGACTAGTTACAATTTCTTTATTTATTTATTTTAAAAGATTTTTCATGGACACCATGATTTCAGTAGAATTCACAAAATCACTGGAAAGAAGTACTTCTATACTGCTACCTACATTTGGATCAAAACCTTTAAAATGGACAGACTTGATTAACAGCGACAGAATCCACAAGTCTGGATATATGCTTAAACATATGAAGAGGGGAAAAACTGAAATTAAGAGTATTACTACATTAAGCATGAATTTTTTTCCTTTTAGGTATACTGCAGTAGTCTCAAAAGGTACTTTTTTTTTTTAAATAAATGCCTTGATTTTACCTCCTTCTTACTACTTATCAAGTGTTACTTATCCTACCTTAGCAGCCTTAGTAGCCTTAACTTTCAGCAGCATATCAACAAAAGCCACTCGTACTTTCTCTGAATTGTCATGAAGACTGTGTTTGACTGCTGGCAGGAGCTGTTCCAGTAATGGATGACTTAGTTTGTTGTCCAAAATTATCGGTAGGCACTGCAAGAAAAAAAGATTATGCTAAAAAAAAATAATTTAAAGAGTAGATTTGCAAAAAGATGTAGCTAAAAATTGTTGAACCGGACCATGACACTTCTAAGGTTAAATTAAGTAGGGACAGACACTGTATGTGCATATTTTTCCTGTAATATTCTTTAGTACAAATTGCTACGGTTATTTCAAATTTCCAGTGAACAGTGAACTCATTTCAGGTGAAGCAGCTTCAGATCTACACACTGAGGCCACAGTCTTACCTTCTACCTGAGGGCACAGTGTCAAGTACTTTTTGGGGTAGCAATATCAGCTCCCTAAACTCTGCTGATTTTAGATTAAAAATACCTCTTTTTTTGCCAACTCATTTTTAAATCCACACTTTCTGCTTCTCCAGTATAGACCCCCTTGCAGCTGTAGTGGAGCAAGTGAGGATTAACATGAAGATAGCTCCAAACTAAGGCTGAATTGACACACACACAAAATTTTTAAGTGAAAATACTGCTTAGGGAGTTAATTTTTCTGTCCAAGCTATTAGTTATTTACCAGATGCCAGAAAGATGTAGATGAACTAATCCTAACATACTGAACAATGCATGGGAGGCTGGCATTCCCAGAGAAACAGTATGTAATTATATTCATCCAAACCTCAGAAACACAAAGCGTACAAAGGGCACAAAATCATGACATAATTGTGCATGTCTAGGGATGGGTTAAAACCAGTGACATAGAAACATACTGGAACCTGCCTGCATACATTTTCAAGTCTAAGCATAACTTCTAATAGCTAAAATAACTAAATTATCAGGTCCAAACAATGTATATAAGACTAGAAATGCAAAGTGGTTGAGAGTCACAAAGCCAAACAGTCACTATTTTAAAAGGCATTTGTTCATTCCAAATGTGTGCCTTTTATAAAACGTGTGCAAAACTTGCGTGTATTAGGAACTTTACTGTATAAGTCATTTTGGGGAACAAGTAATTTCCTTGACTTAAAGTGGCCTATACTAGAAACCTGTGCATCAAGTAAAATATAAAAGTGACAATCATAATTTTAAATTTAGAAAAAAAGATTTACTTTAAAAACAGAGCATCGAACATCAGCAGATGTTATATCACATGCCAGCTCTCCAGTTAGTTTTTTTAAAAGATCAGCAAGAATTGTTGGAGGAATCATCTCCCAGTATTTGGATGTTATCTGAGTAACTCCGAGTATCCCTGTAGAGCGGACAACTGGATGAGGATCTTCTAAGAGACTCTAAAACAAACAGAAGAATAATAATGTGAGTATATGCATTATTGTGACTCTACTGCTGTTTGACATTAACCTGTCATAAACAAATAGCATTCCATTACCTTTTAATCATTATGCAAATAGTCACACTATGAAAGAAATGTAATATTAATATTCCCTCAATGCATTTTATTATGAAGCAAACTAGGAAATTTAAATCAGAAGCAAAATTAAGACGAATATTGGGCAATTTTTTAAAATTGGACTTTTGAAATAGTTTTTTAAAAAATAGCTCACATGAAGTCTTGCCTCTGTGACTTAATTAAGAGTATTTAGACCTCTATTTACATGAGTTTACACTGTCCACTGTTCCTATGCAACAATATAAAAACTTTGAAATTCATTCAATTATCTGATGTTTACATTTTTAAAGACCATACTGAGGATTTCCCCAACATTTTCTTAATGAAAATACTATGCCCATTCTCACCCATCTAGACTGGTAAAGAGTTTTTTAGGTTCTTATCTCCATTATACTTCATTTCAGAAGTATTTAGTAATACAGTACTAAACTTCCATTGAATGCTTACATATTAAATGTGAAGCTCTCTTCACCAATACTAGGTTAAGTAAGGATCAAGATCCATTACTCATGCATCTAGTCTTTCAAAAGCATCTTTCATTCACAAATTAATGAATAACAATCCCAAATATTTCCTTTCCAGAGCTGAAAAAGGTGCATGCAATTTGTTGTCAACATACTACAGAAATTTAAAGTATTAGTTTATTTTTGTATTTTCTGCATCACAGGCCTGTATTTCCCTATGAATACTATCCTGAAATTTCAAAAATTTTAATTGCATCAGCAGCTTATTTTTGAGTTAGTTTTGATGAAAGTTTCATTTTTAACATTTTAGTTTCATTAAAACTTACGAAAAGTTCTTCAAACTGTTTCTGAATTTCGCTGTCCATCTCTTCAGTGTTAAAACTGGGATCACGAACAGGAAAAGCATCAACGAACAAAAATGCTGCATTTGATCGAACTTCTGAGTTTCTGGCCTGTTACAATGAAGGAAGAAAAAATTGTTTTCAGTAAATACCGACTTTCAATATCAAAAGGCATATCCTGTCAAATACTGCTCTCCAAACACTTCTAGCGAGTTAGTATTGTTAATTAAGTAGATGGAAGAGATGAATTTTTAAATCTATGGAAGAACTTACAGTTACATGACTTTTATTTTTTTTTTACCTTATATTTCTGCCCATTCAGTAAAACCTCAGTTATTAGTACAATCAGCTTTCAAGGCATATTGACTTCAATGACCCTGAAGAGTCACAGTCAGAGCCCTTCTGCTCTCTGTAATGCTGAATAAATTAAAAGCAGTTGGGATATCTCTTGGTCACCTTAAAGCTCCTCTTCAGAATACAAGCATCTTGAATTCAAGCAGATTTAATTGAAAAGCTCATGCCTATTTCTTCAAGAAAACAGTATTTAGAAACTAAGTATCAGCAAGCCTGGAGAGTAACTTAGTCCAACATAAACGTATTCAGTTCTGCATCTATGCACAGAAGTAACAGGACCATGTGTGAGCTCCAATGCAGCTCATCAAAAAATCTAAGGCAAGCCTCATAACCCTCAGACATTTTACCATGCCTATTTCTTCAAGAAAACAGTATTTAGAAACTAAGTATCAGCAAGCCTGGAGAGTAACTTAGTCCAACATAAACGTATTCAGTTCTGCATCTATGCACAGAAGTAACAGGACCATGTTGTGAGCTCCATGCAGCTCATCAAAAAAATCTAAGGCAAGCCTCATAACCCTCAGACATTTTACCATTTGTAATAGTTTTCAGTGTGTTACACTATATGTTTCGCTGGTTGTAGAACGCCAAATGTAAAGAAAAAAGAAAAAAGTGTATATTTAGACACTCAGTCAGTGAAAAATAATTGGCTCTGTGGACTCTTAAAAGGATAGAAAAAGAGAGCAGGCAATGAAATGAAGAAAAGATGAAATTCAAGGTATCTCAGGGAGAAACCTGAAATCTAACCATCAGACTACATTTTATTTATCAAAGACAGCAGTACTATGATAACAGCCTGTGCTCACTTCTCTTGGAAGGAAGAGGGAAGGAAGAATTTTGTTCAGATTTTGAGTCCAAGTTAAAACAAACAAATGTGTGTATATATATGAGACTACAAATATACAGTCTAATAAAACAAGCGAAGTAGGCTTAATTTTAACAGCAAGATAAGAGATAGTTCAGGGAACCTCCTGACTATTCTAATCATCCAATTTTCTTCTTCCTTTGTCATAAGAGACATTCAGAGCAAAGGCAGGAAAAACAAGGATAACCATGTAATATTTAGAACTAAATAAACTAATGGCAAAAAAACCCAGAAAAACACAAAAGAAATGAGCAACAATTACTTCATTTACAATTTATTTTCTATTTCCCTTCCAGACCGATCCTCATATGGTGGGTTGCATCTCTGGGTAGAACCAAAAAATTCCAAATTCAAGCCAACAAAATTAATAGCAATTCCAAATTTAATACTATGAAGGCAAATAAAGCCCATATATACATTCTTCAGTTAGGGACTTGTGTTTTACTTTATTTATCATGGATAATACAAACAGTCTAAAAGTGAAAAGATTATAATTATTAATTCAATCCTACAAAGCTGTAGAAAATCCTTTAACTTTGAGCTTGTCTATATTGAAGAATTAATGCATAACAAGCTAATATGTGAATTCAGGGTGAAATAGCTCTTCTGCACTAATATTTCATGTGAAAATTAATTCAAGTATGTTTTTGTGCAATAACCTAAACCTTCTCTACCATGGCCATTCCAGAAAGTTAATTTTCATAAACTTTTTAAGTGCATTACACTGAATTCCATTAAGCTCACTTGAATTCTGAACTGAGTACCTGCAGTTTAAATTCCTGCCTTTGATTAATTGGAATTTATCCCAAAGGTATTTGTATATTCAAGCTCGTAACAGAGTAAATGTCTTCACAGAGGTAGAACCTAGGACTTCAGATTCATATCCTGTTTTATTCCACACTGACTTTTCCATGCCAGAGAAACCTGCAGTTATTTAAATGACTAATGTTTCTTTACCTTTATGCCTGTACTGTTCTGAGGAACTTTCAGAACCTTTTTAAACAATATTTTAATTTTTTGTTCAGTTAATTTTCAGAGCTTTCTTTTAAGTTTCATCTGGGCTTACAGGTCCTGGAATTCACTTCCAATTATTTAAAACACTGTTTTTCCCCAGTGTGTGGGATGATAAAAAAAACCCAAACCCAAACACACTACTTTAAAGGAATGACTTCCTTCAACAGCTTGAATTCCTGGAGGAGTGGTTCTTGACTTTTTGAGCTTGATAAGAAATAGCTTAATCACTACTTATCTCACAATAAATATCCATATTTTCATATTTATATAGCTTCTTATACTAATAACCAATTACTGCACAACTGTCTCTGCTATGTTTGCATGAGACTTACTTTTCATAATAAAGACATGAAAAAAGATGAGGAAGTTACATAAGGGCTTATATGACAAAAACTTAAAGTTGCATAAAGACCTATAAAATATGTGTAGGTAAAAGCCACAAGGGAAGCTTGTGTGGTCTAAGTATTTGCAAAACAAGCAATTAAAGAAGAAACAGAGAACTATGCATTACAAATATGCATTCTCAGTTTAAAGATTTTAGAGGTGAAATCAAGTAGTTTCAACACGCACGGTTCTGGAATCCTTTGTATTCTTACAACTGAAGTATTTTCCCTTTCTGCAAGAAGGAGGGGTAAAGAGGTCCTTCTATGAGTTCCCTTTCTGCTTTGTAACCAGTATTCTAGAACAAGATTTGTTCTTCACTATATTAAATTTGTATGGTGGCTAAAATAGGAGCATCAAACTGGTTATCTAAAATTAAACTGACATTTCAAACTTTGGAGCAGAATCCATACCAGTAAGGACAATTATAAGCTTCCCTTCTTAGTTCTGTATCTTAAACTACCGGTGATTCTGAGTCACAGCAACAGTTATCTTAAAAATGCCAAATACTTCAGCAGTATTATATGCAAAATAAAAATTAACTATACAAAAGTAACACAGCAAGACAGTGGCCTATCCAAAAATAAATTGCCAAATTTTGATGTTCAGTCACACATTTTCTTTCACCAATCACAAATATGGTACTGTATCATTTGGAATTCAGAATCTTTCCTTGCACTGAATCATTACGTGATTCACATAATTGCTGCATTCAATTTTTTACAATCCTCCCTTCACTATTCTGTAATCTACTTTCACAACAGTTGGACTATTTTGCTGTATTAAAACAAATTCTCCATGACCTATTTGATATGCCTGTTAACATCTAAGCTTGAAGTGCTTAACTACATATGTAGAAGCTGTCAAGATAAAAACAAAACCAAAAAAAACCCCCAAAATCAACAAAAACCCCCAACCAACTAAAAAACACCCCAAAAAACTTCCTAAAATTCAGATTTGTTCTAGCAATGGAACCATTAGTGATGTGAAAATTACAAATAGCAGCTGTTAAAAATTTGAACCACTTCTGGAATCAGGAATTCCTGATTTCTCCTTTTGTCTTGCTGCAAATCAGTAATTAACCTTTTTTCCTCAAGCCAAACCTTTCTGTTACATTTCTCCAAACAAATCTATGCAGATTTAGTAAGGTTTGACAGAATGTTCTTCCGAAGTACTCTGATCTTATATTTGAGTTGAATCCTGGGCTTTGGAAAGTGAATTACTATCCTCCATTTACAGATAGCAACTCCCTTAAGAATGGAATACCATGTTTTGCTAACCACTCTGAAATTGTTTCTGAGACACTAGTCAGGAATTTTGCTATGCTATGAAAAATCAATTAAAAACCCTATTCTTTTCAGAGACAGAAATGTAGAAATTAAAGAAAGCCATGCTTTGTAGCTATTACTCTCTTGCACTGAGAACACGTTTCACCCAGAAGGATTCTTGTTTATATTAATTATAAAGGGATGGGATCCAATCCTTAATGTAAGACCAAACAAGATACTGGTCTAGCGATGAGTCTGTCCACCTTCCCACTTCTACCACAAGGTTCTATTGAAACCAAACAGCTCTCAACTCCTTCCTGTAACTCATAAAATCCATTTTAAACAACTTTTTAAGTTGTTTTTAAATACTTTCAATTTTAAGAGTTTTTAAATACTTCTTTCATGGCTAGAGAAGATGCTGTATGACCAATCGGTAAATGAAACCAGTAAATGTTAAACAGCACTTAATTTGGCTGTAACAAATGGGATGTGTATGCTCTCACTGAAGGAATTTCATAACCTCAGACAAAATAAAAGCTGTTCACAAAGAAGGAAGCTTGGCTCATCTTAATTGTAGAGTGTAACTGAGTAGGTAAACTGCAGTAGGTACCCTTTAGTCTGTGCGTGCAATCCACAGGAAGACATACACACTTACGTTAAAAGTACTAGAAGTCAGAAATTTCATTCTGAATGCTTGATTAAAAGCACATATATAGCATGAATGTCTGTGCATACAATCAAACTAGAATAAAAGGTTTCCTAAAATAATACTCTAATAAATTAATTGAGCTGTATTCTAAGGCTGGTAATTAATCAGAAGGTGAGATTAAATCATCCTCTGAACGTTTCTGGCTTTGATCAATAAAGCACTGATCATTCCATAAAGAACTTGGAAAACAGAATACAAGATTACACAAAATTCCCAAACTGAGAAGATGATGAGAAGACCAAAATTAGTGTTAGTCTCACTGTCTACTGCAATCCTGGAAAGCACTCTGTGTACCTGTAAACAAAACTGAAGTATGGAAGTAAATTATATTAACAAATTAGAGTATTGTTGTGCAAACTATGCCTAATTACAACTTGCAAAGCTACTCTGCTACAGCTGAGATGCTAAACACACTGATTTTTTTTTCCATAGCCATTTTATTTTAAAAGCAATTATGAAAAACAGAACACGTGGGAGGGATCCACAATTTAGTAGTTGGAGAAAGATAGTCCTATATTCTATTGTTACCTTCAGTGCTCTCCAAAGGATAGGTTGATACAATCTATAGAGCATTTCTTCAACTCCTTGACGAACTTTACTTTGTTTATGAAAATAACTCAGCATCTGAGAAAAACAAACAAACCAATCCCAAAACCATTTTTAACAGTACTTTCTACATTCAAGAAGCGTGCAGGAGTTATCTCATTTCATCGTTTATATAAGACCAAAGAGTTTTCCATACTAATAGACATATTAATTGACCCTATATTTTATTTTAAAGTCTCAAAAATCATAAAAAAATAGATGTAATAAATATAACATTTTATAACTTTATAGATTCAGTAAATTTAAATAAAGATCTACAACTGAGAAATAAAACCATGGCTAAAGAGTCAGTTTCACAGCAACCAGTCATATTTTGTAACAGTAAAAAACTCTATTTTTAAAGTAACTAGCAGAAAAACTTTGAAACCATGTCATTATCAACTACAGACAAATAACCCATTTCTCCGTTAAGAACAAAGGAACATTATTTGATAACTGGAGTTATCCAAATACAAATCTACAAACATAATACATTTTGTACACACTGATGAAAAGCAAGTATCAGCACTCCTTTTGACTCAGAATTGTGCTTTGTTACCTAAAGCCCCTTTTATTTTTGTATCTGAACTATGCAAACAAAAAAGGAAAGTAGAAGACCAGAGCAGAATATGAGAAAGGACATCATGTAACTTGATAGGAAGTAATTCCTCCACCCAAAACACTGGACAGTTTGAAAAGAAGTTGACCCTCAACTCAATACCTGAGTACTTCAGATACTCACAGCTACAGCTAGACAGGGAAGCCTGTGAATAGCATCTACAGAAACAATGCTATCATGGAAGAATCCCTTTTCTCTAGTTTTGAAATATACTGAAGTAAAGACATGATATAATTTATAAGAGACTATGTAGCTCTTATTTCTTATTACATAAGAACGATGGATCTAACCCAGGATTAATGGCAAATCTGTACTGTTTTGTAACAGATTTCATTAGAACATGGACATAGGTTTTATAATCAGAACTTTGAATTCAGAAGGGAGAGTTGTATGTGTTGCTTTTCCCTCCCCCCTCACTCTTTCAATAAAATAGCCCAAACTTTGCTCAAGTGAATGACTGTAGTTGGTTACTCTCCTAATTGCTACAGGAACTTCTGGATTCTAAAGGACCATTTTAAATCAAATTCTTGCATACTGAAAAAAACTGCATCATTCAAATTTATTCTGAGATCCACTCCCCTCAACTCAAAGACAGATTTATTTACATCACTGTCCTCTTTCAAGATCATAAGCTTCTGAGGCTGAAAAACATGAGATGCCCTGTCAAAAGCCTACTCCATCAATCAGGAATCAGAGGACAAGGGAGTCCACTACAGATATGAGAAATTATTTACATTTGATTAAAAACAAAACAAAATCCAAAAAAACCAAACCAACCAAACAAAAAAATACAGGATTGTATACTGGTATATCAAGCTATATATTGCACACACTATACACTCCAGCATCTATATATTTGGGGGAAAGCATGGGAGGTGAAGGGACATAGATCAAATACAAATGCCTCGTCTTAAAAAGTTTTGTGCACTTCTCATTCTGCTTCAGATGTTTTGCTCATGAATAAAAGCCACAGACAACTACAATCCGTAACTGAATCAAGGCTTGTCCCTATAAACATATATACAAAACCTCCATATATAACAAAAAGAAAAAACAAGTTTAATTGCAGACCCATCTACTAAATTTGCCTCAAGAGGCTTATGACTTTTCGTCCCTGTGATTGGCTATGGAAAGGTCAATTCTCTAGGTAAAGAAAAACTTAGACAACAGACAGCAAAAACTATTTCTGGCACTCTGGAAGATCCCCTTATATTTCTGCTTCTGAGCACCAAAGACAAATCTGGTGCAACACTATAAGCAGGTTCCTCCTAAAATTTGTTCAAATATTGTTTCTCAGAATATGCTCTTTTTTACATAAGTATTTGTGGTGGGTTGGCCCCAGTCACGAGCTAAGCACCACACAGCCACTCACTCACTCCCCTGCCAGTGGGGTAGGGAAGAGAATTGGAAGAGAAAAGCAAGAAAACTCATGGGTTGAAATAAAGACAGTTTAATAAGTGAAGGAAAGAGGACAAAAAACCTCAAAACAAGTGATGCAAATGCTATCACTCACCACCTCCCACAAGTAGACCAATGCCCAGACAGTCTCCAAGCAATGGCTATCTCCCCAAAATCCACTTTCCCTCAGTTTTTATTGCTGAGCATGATGTTATATGGCATGTAATATCCCTTTAGTCAGTTTGGGTCAGCTGTCTTGGCCGTACCCTCTCCTGACTTCTCGCTCATCCCCAGCCCACCCGCTAGGGAAACAGAGTGGGGAAGAGAAAGCCTTGACACCATGCAAGTACTGCTCAGCAACAGCCAGAACATTGGTGTGTTATCAACACTGTTTTAGTCAGCAAATCCAAAACACGGCACCATATGGGCTGCTATGAAGAACGGCAATTCTGTTCCAGCCAGACCTTGTATAGTATTTTAGTACAAAACGGAAATTTTCTACTTTATAGTAACTGATCTGATTTTGATGCTACTAGTCCATGTCATGCTTTACAGGAACTTACCTCTCTAACTTTAGAATGAACAGAAGAACTTCTGGGAAGATGAATTCCATGATGCATGAAATCCTGAATGCAGTTATGTTCAAGTATCTACAGTAAAACACATGCATGCTACTGTTAACACACAATAAAACAATAATAAGTACTGTAGGCTGTGCAGCAACTTATATTTTTCTCTAAAACAAAGAACTGAAAATAGTCTTTGATATTATTTCTTACTTGGCTTCTGCTAGGCCCAGATTTTTCCATGCTAGGGGCCTCTGTCTGCTTAAACTGATTTTCAGAATATACAATTAATCCAATTCTTAGAACCAAGTTTGGAATTCAAAAGCACCTCCACATGGTAAATAAGAACTATTTGGTATCAGAATTTTGGCTGTAGCATTGTTGTGATGCTATAATTATGCTTTTGATCATCTCCATGGAAATCCACAAAAACTAGATAAATATTTAAGCTATCAAATATATAGACTTACACATACTGAATAACAGCTTCCATAACTCAGATAGCTAGTGTGTTTACAAAAACCACTGCATATATGCATAGTTGCATGAATCCATATTTCAGCAGCAGAATTAAAGGTGTTTAAATGCAACCAAGCTGATTGCAGTGGGCAAACATTCAAAGCATGACATGCTCTTACTCCTTGACAATGCTGAAGAGGCCCTTTCCTTAGGGAAATAATTCCTTAAGGCTTGCTTAGGAACCTTTCTGAGGTTGAAAAGTCATGTATCTTCTCCATCTTAAAATTCAAAACTATCCAAATGAAATTTCAAGCATAGTATTACCTCTAAGAATTCTCCTGACACTTTCTTCCAGGCCCTGAAGTAAACTTCTGAAATGTATTCCATCAGGGATCTGTATTAACATATGGGAAACACTTTCAAGCAAGCATCCTAACCATATCTATGTACAATTCATAAAGGTTACAACATGAAGTTTTTGATAAGTACCAATATTATTCCTAATTCTGTGCATCAACATTATTTTTAGAAGAAGCAAATATCTTGAAAGTCTACACTGATAATTACAGAAAAACAAAGTTAATTGTTAATTAATTAACCCAAGCATTATTAAAAAACACAGGAAATATCTCTTACAGTGGGAAAGTCAAAACATTAGCACAGATATTTTATCATTTGTCTCACAATGAATGCCTTAAATTCTTTATAAAGGTGTACAGGTATACATTATTCTAACTGAAAGCATTAGAAAGCCTCTGATTTTAATATCAAGAATTACCTCTGTAATATTTCACTAAATAATCAAAGGAAAAAAAATCCAAGTTTTTCATCCATCAGTCAAGCTCTCAGGCTATGATCCTGCAAGTCACTTCTTATTAGAATGTCTCTATACAGAATCTTACCAAATTAAATTAGAGGTTGCTCATAGAAAAAAATAAAAATATGTTACAGAAGCAGAAATGGACCTGAAAGTCTCACACAAACACTGCAAGTAATGCAGCAGAGTTTATATGAAAGTCATTCGCTTTAGCTAATGCTAAATAAGCATTTTATTACACCTATAATTGTAGACATAAGCACGTGCAGAGCAACTATTAAATCAAGTTGCTGAAACAATACAGTAGCTATATTCAGCAGATTTGAAGGTGTCTGGATTCTGATATATTTTATCAATATACTAGGTATTTCAGAGTGTGAGACAAACAAGAACTTAGCCAAGCTCTTAACGATCATTAAGAACTCTAACTGTGATGCATACCTGGGAAAAAATTGTAATTGGTTTTTAACAGTTCCATGTATCATTTTAATGAAGTTTACATTCCAGCTGAACAAAAAGCTCAAGAATCTTCTTCCCTATTGGGAAAGGAAAAGAGGAAAAAAAAGGGAAGTCAAACCCTGAGAAATACCCAATTTAAAAGCCACCTCAAAAATCAGTAAATACAGAGTTTAAACATCAAAAGAAATTATACCTTTAATTTTAAAAAACATAGATGAGATTGTTGCAGGAAAAAAAAGTAAGAGTCTTAATTTTTAAACAGAATTCAAGCATTACTTTTATTTATAGGGAAGTGATTGTGCCCCTGTACTCGGCACTGGTGAGGCCACACCTCGAATACTGTGTTCGGTTTTGGGCCCCTCACTACACGAAGGACGTTGAGGTGCTGGAGCGTGTCCAGAGAAGGGCAACGAGGCTGGTGAGGGGTCTGGAGAACAAGTCTTATGAGGAGCGGCTGAGGGAA